TGGAGTCAGACGAAGAATCTGTAAAATAGCTCAAGAGTACTTCAGACACCGGAAAAAAGTGGAGTACAGAACAAAAGGCGGATATCAGTTGAGTCTAGAAATATGTGAAAGAAAATACGCGCGGCGAGCCGGGCCGTATCAGAAGGAGGCGCGCCGGCGTTAGCCGGCGAGCCGACTGGTTAAATAAATTGTATTAAAGACTTCAACGAACTTACTGTCGACAAGAGTCCAGTTTGGTTGATAACTGGGATAAACGTGACTGTGTAAAAAGGAAGTGGCACTACAGCTACTCTTTCAAGGCCTGAAAAAGCTATTATCATAGCAAAAGTTAACCGATAAAATTGTATGCAATAGTTCTCATCGTCTGTTTTCTGGAGAAGACAGTACAACGCATAAGGTTCAACGATATTTTGGTTCTTTTAAACTCCCAAAAATGCCACTATTCGACCATTACCATGGTACTGATCAAGCAAAGCAAAGCAGGTCACAAAGTGAAACAACAGGGCAATTTAAAAATGAAAAAGCACAAATCAGGCAACGGCACTATTCAACCATTCCTCCCCCAAAAACTCAAAAAAATTGGTGAAAGTTTACCCATAAGGGTAACTCGACCACGAGTGTGCCATTCGTTTTCGACGCTGGCGCCATTTAGCGCTACTACTCGGTTTAAAACCCGTGTTTACGCGGCTTCAGCCTAATAATAATCGGCAAATATGGCAATATATACAATTAAAAAAACGAGAAGTAGTAAAACTAGTATGAACTGGTAGTCATTCCAAGCGCAGTTCGGCTTGGGAGGGACGCCAAATAGCACTCAACGACGCTTGTACAGCCCACGTTGCGAAGACCTGTAAATTCTTGTTACCAAAGTGGCTCACTTGAACCACTTCTCAACTTCACAGGAGTTTACAAGTTTCACCAAAATTGAACGAGCCAGTCAATATGGACTAAGAGAAGGAACTAGCGAGAAAGCAAAATGCCCAACCGAAACCGAACAGCGTCATAACTTTAAAATAAAATGCTCTAAATACAAAATTTTAAATGCACAGGGAAACCACAAGTTGATAACGTCATGACTAGTCTAATTAACAAAATTCTGAGTTGGCTAATGCTGAATGAGCAAGATATAGAACATTTATGAACGACGTTCAAAAAAAGAAACTGCACGCTTTTACGATTGTTGAGAATAGATTAGTAATTCCATATCTCGCCCTCAACAAAACCAAGCTGGAGGCTACTTACGTACCTAGAGGCTAATAATAATATTATAAAGTTGATGTCAAAAGGCAAAAAAACATTTAAGGTACAACTTGACACTGAAAAAAGTTGAAGTTGGCACCAAAGCGTTCAGGAATTTGAATTGCTTGAAGACCGCACTACACAAGGTACACCATTTCTGGAATACCGTGGGCGAAAAGCTGCTGAAAAGTATTGTGTTGAATAAAATAGGTTATGGGTCGCTGGGAGCGGTATCCTCACAAAATCACCTGGCTAACGGTAGCTAGGAAAAATTTACATTGAATTAGAATCACTGCAAATGGAAAATATGTGAAGTTTCTGCTTATCAATCACTTTGGTAAATGGGCTACGGTCACGATTGAGTTACGCAAACTTCATATAAAAAATATTTTCGCTTTTTCAGTGGGGTGGAGCACGTTGCTGTGGATTAGCGCTTCATGTGTAATTTTAGTTCAGACAAAGAGCGGAAAGGAACCATCATAGAGCTCGATGCCCTCGGCTTGTGGTTAGACAGAAACCTTTGGCTTTTCCGTATTTTCATTTCAGCATGAACCACATTACTGAGCGTCAAAACGAGCCGGTTTGAAACGCGTATTTAGTCCCTAGAATTACTCGCGGAGCGATCTATGTGCAAATAAATGTCTTGTTGTTCCATGCACGGAATGAAAAATTCATGCTTTAGCCGTCGTGTCACTTCGAGACGTATTTGTCATTGGCTGGAGGACAGTTCTTGAATTTTTCTCATTCCGTTAGAGTCCAAATACCCTGAATCGGCAGAGTTCAAATACTCTAGCGACCCGCAGATAAGCCCTCAATTGGATAAGTTTGCGCGGCGTCGCAATAGGCGCACTTGCGAACACTGAACGGGACACTGTGAATTTAAACCAAATTTTATTTCCAAAAAAGGGGTTCTCTCTGGCAAATGGATCAGAAGACAAAAAATCATAATCGTTAAATTGCTATGGAAACGCTGACAGGAGGCGCCAACGAGAAGGCTTTTCGTGGAGGAAGTTCAATGAATGAATTTGAAAAGCCATTTCAGTCTTATCATTCCTGGAGAAACAATGAAAAAGGAATTAATTCAAATGAATTTAACCCCGTCCTATTCTCCATTTGGGCGGGGCCAGGCATCTAATCTGTTTCGCTCGTTTTCTCCGGCGTTGCAAGGTATGAACGCAGCTCTAGTGGAAAGGTGCGAAGAAAGGACTTGAGCCCGAGGATGAGGTTTTTTGTCCACGCCTAGAGCGGTAAAAGCTTCAGCTAGATTGACCAATTCTTTCGTGAGCGTTTTCCCCATTTCAGTTCGCACAGCCGAAAGCGAAAGTTTCTTCGCACCGTTCGCCACCTTTCCAAGCTTATCTTCACTGTTTAGAGAGATACGGTTTCGCAAAAAAAAACAGATTCTTACTATTATGTAGCTTTGCAAGAGTTTAAATGATTTCAGGGTGCGTTCATAACTGCGTGAGCGTTCTGAAAGGCGTACGCTCAAAACGTTGATACAAACTATGGACGCACTCATAAGCCCGTCAATAACGCCCCCTCCCCCCACCCCTTCCCCCGCATCAGTACGGGTTTCACCATGATGAGCCCGTACGACAAAACAGTAAAAAAGTGAACATTTTATTGAAATGCGCAGGTTTCAGAAAGACCAAATGTGGAATATGTATATTATATTTTTATTATATCACCGTAGCATTTAAGAGCAACTTTGACCCGAAAATCAAGAATAGAGGTAACAACTTAGGTAATGACAGCGGCAGTGAATATCCAAAAAATAATACAATCATAAGTTCAGGTTGTCCTTGTTGCAAAATTCTCCTCATCCTTGAGTTGCATTCGACGCACAAAGTCGGATAGAGATCTATCGAAATCGGTGAATTCCGGATAAACGACTAGTTGTTTCCTGATCCATTTTGATAGCCGAGCTGATGAGACCGTAACTAAAAAGGAAGCATTATTGATCTTATTCAAACGATAGAATCGGTACTAGCCTGTGTTCTGCTGAGGTTTCGCCTGCTCCACCAAACGCTCATCAATGAGAACTAAAGCACCCCAGTCATTTCTATGACGCAAGCATCTAAATGCTGAATTCTGTTATTGAAACCAAAATAAGTAAGATTGAAGGTACTACCTGCCGAGAGCTTGGTTGAGCGCACGATATGCTTGCGAAACATACCACTGATCTCCTGTCAGAAGAGATTTTATCTTACAGTATTCATTATTGTACGCTTTCTTTTCCTTTACCTGAAATACCGCTTACTTTTGGGTGGGCTCACGACAGACCTAACGATATGTTATGCTATGTTTAATACGCTGCATAAGGCAAACGTGAGAGAATAGAACAAACAAAGAACGACGAAAAGAAACCATTGAAAATAGTAAAAAGACAACGACACATCAAACTCGGAAAATACGCTTGCTAGTATATCAAGAAAATATCAAACTCATTAAAGATAAACGTTCTATCAAACATACCAAATCATCCATAGCGTTGGGAAACGGAATTCCGACAGAGATGACCACCCTTGCGAGATCATCGACGAAATCTATACCTTCAGACACCTAAACAGAGAAAATCTAAAAAAAGGCGCTTATAACCATGGGAAGGGGGCACAATTGTGAGCGCTTGTTAGCATACCAAATCCTGTAAACAGGGTACTGCATCGTGATGTATGAGGTGGTGGTGTCGGTACACCCCCCCCTTCCCCTCGAAGGAGGGTCTCAGGTACGACCCCCCTGCCCTTCCCCAACACCTACCTACCACTTTCCTACAAGTTCCCAGCTTCCTACCAGTTTTTCCGAAACTTCCCACATTTTCCAGTTTTTCATTCAACAACTTTCCGTCGAGAGGGTGCGGGGAGGGTATACAGTACACTTGAAACAGGAAAACTCACGAAAGTCAACAACCGAGAAAAATTCTTTCCCAACCAGCAAATTCCTCTCAAAGCCACACACGACCTCCCTCCCCTTCCCCAGCCAACAAGTACGACCCCCTATTGTTTAAAACAACGATGCCGTACCCTGCCTGCAAACTGTATACACGTGAATACTGAACAACAAGGGTATGTGACAAGAGGATCGTAATTTGCCGCGCTGCTGGGCGTCGCGTGCGACGTCTCCCCGCAAAGGACGATGGTTTCAGGCAGTAGATGGCGACAACATGCAATTAAGGACCGAAAACAGTAATGAGTGTCTACGATGACGGGGTCTACATGAAGTCCGGTGCTCCATTCGACAGGTTAAAACGAGTTATGAAAACGCCGCGCCCATCGCCGCGCGTGGCGGTGCGGCGAATTACGATCCTCTTTACCGTCTCCCGAACAACAAAGTGTCAACACCCTGTACGTCCTGTTATCACCTGGGGGAACGGTTAGGACTCCACGAGAGGTCAGCCTGCCGCCGCCGCGGAGGTGCTCTCCGCGATGCTTTCGCTATGTATTTTTTGCATTTGCATAGTTCATGAGATTTCCAACCGTCTGCTTTATACTTGCAGGTGTGAAGGCTATGAAAGGAATGGGCCCGATATTCAACTACTAGTATAAAACACGCCATTAACATAGAAATAATATTTAGAGAATACATCAGCAATCTACGAAAATTCTTTTCAGGGTGAATCCTTCTTTTGGCCTCAATTGTAAGATATTGTAAGGTTTAAGATTCTCGGCCAGACGGTAAAAGTAGGTCCTATTGAAGAAATACAGCAACCCGTCGAATAAGTACAGCTGCCATTCAAAAATACTGTCGTCCCATTGAATATTCTGGTTTGGAAAAATCCCAAGCAGATTCGCGTGATGCCAGAACTATGTGAAGGGACCGGGATCTTAATCGCACGACCGCATTGTTGCCTCTGCGTAAAATCAGTTAGGCGTGCGGCGCGTGCGGCGAATTACGATCCTCTTCACCGTCTCCCGAACAACAAAGTGTCAACACCCTGTACGTCCTGTTATCACCTGTCAAGCACCCTGTAAACTTCTGTCAAACTTGTCACTATGACGGGCCCAGATTTGGAGGGAATGGAGAAATGGCAGTCGAATGGCGATAGTACCATTCCCTACACGATACTGACAGGACTTTACAGGACTTGTAATGTGAGATACCCACGAGGTATAGACACATCGAAAAAGGTCGCAAATGACACACCTTTCCGCGAAAGACTGCAAACATCAAAGCACCATCTACATGGCGACCATATTTTTCAGGACTTTTGACGGCATCTTCATAAACTTCCATTACTTCGTGCATATCTGAAGAACGCCGTGGTTCCTTCACCACCACCTGAACAAAAGGGGTGCTTGAAAAATATCAAGGGTAGAAGAAATTTGTTGAAGCCGCACCTTTCGAGTTTGAATCTGACGAAGCATAGATGTAACTTCCATGTGTTCAAAGAGAAGGTTCAAAACACGGTAGCTAGGGAAAAAGCAGAGAATCCCTTTTGGCACGGACATACAAATACGACTAAATGCTTCATCATTAAATTAACTGAAATATCATCAAATAGAAGAGCGAAAAAAGGATAGAACTGGGCTAATCTAACATTAACATGTTGACCTACCTTACTATTAATGCCAGTTCACTAATAAACCTGCTATTGACGTTTGCAACATTCTGGTAGGTTGCGCACATCCTGTGACCGTTCAGGCCCTGAAAAGGAATAATCACACAAATTTGTGCAGTAACCAAAGATAAAGGAATGAAGATCACACCGTAATACTAGAAAATAAAAATGTTGACGAAGAACTCACCACAGGCAATACAGAGGCAAAAATCTGGTCGGCAGGAATAACCTGATCTCCTTCCATCTGAAAATGAAATACTGTGATTGCTGTCCAAAAGAACTATAATCGTTTTCGCTCCAGATACTGGGGCATGTCATAAGTATGGCGCATCGCGACGCAAGTCCATTCTCTACCAACTATTGGATCAGGCAAGCGACATCAGCTGATGCAAAAATAGCGAGGCGCGTCAAATTTAGTCTCACTCACACGCCCCAGTTTCTGCAGTGAGAACGAATGTACAAATTTTGGACACTCAAAATTCAGTGTTCAGCAGGTATGGGCGCACTCTTTCGGTAAGAGCGATGGGCGGGATCGAGTTCCACCTGAGGTCAACAATCTTGTCCATAACTTTGCATTTGAACGACAACTCAAAATTCTTTTCTTGCCTCCTAGAAAGTAAGCTCCGCGCGAATACGTAATCGTCTTGGAACCAAAAGGATTGGAAGGGTGTGTCTGGCCACTTTATTATGCGTTGCAGCACTTCGACTAACTCTGGTAGGCAATCTGGTTTTCATTCCGGAACGGCCCTGCCCACTGGATGGACTTCGAGGGAAGGAATCATGTTAGAGAAGAAGATGTGGGTGAGAAGAGGAAAACTATAACTAGCTATAACGTTTCCCTGCTCCGCGATGGCGGCGAACTTTGATCTTAGGTGGGGTATCGAAGATGGTACCCACTGGAAAGATGTGAAAGGGCACTGGATTCCCAGAACAGCAAAGGCTTAGTATGGCGCAGAACAAGCTAGTTTCCCTCGTAACTTTAAGGAGGCATGCCTCTGACACTCCAACCCAACAGAAATACGCTTCCTCCTAGCTGTAAACGACACATGGCTGGTAACTTTGGCTTTGTCATTCTTAGCGTCGATCTCCTTTAGGCCGCCTTCAAATTTGCGACTGAGCAGATTCGGCGATTTAGCAGACTGTGCTCCGGAAGAGTGGACGGATATTGATCGGCGCCGGTCGCTGGCGATGTGACACTTTGGGAAATCGCCCAATCCGTCGAATCATCGGATGACTGAATCCTTGCAGCTGCCAGAGTGGTACTTGTTTTTCATCGCTCAATATCTCAAGTTGTCGAGTATCCCAGGTCGTCGAATCATCCCTCAATCTCAGAGTATGAATGCGGCCTCACCTCTGAGAAACTTTTCACTGCTTTGCCACTTTTCCAGTACGGCGCCCGAATAGTTTCGATTGATTCATAGTGCAGGACCTCATCTACCAGACTTCAAGTGAAATAAAATAACAACAGCAGCAACCAACTTGAGAATGGAACTTGAGACCAAGCTCAGTCTTCAGCGTTTCAACGGGACACAAAGTGCCAGATGCAAGTACGACAGAACGGCAATCAGAGAAAGCACTAGTGAAAGCCTGAAAAAAGGTGCTTAGTGCTGATTTATCAGTAACTTTGCAAAAATAGCTAACCAGTTCCGGACTCATGCACCACAAGCTAATAGAGGTTTTATATCCCTGCCGAATCGGAACATGGCCTGAAGGGCCTTGTGAAGATGAAAGCCACACGTCACCGTCGGTCTGGCTGTAGTTGACGTTCTTCGGACCACCTTGAGTGCTCCGTCGAGCATTTCCATGGGCGAATGATGAGCGATCATTAGACTTATCTATATACTCGCTGCTCACGTTCATCCTATAATTGTACAAGTAAAAGCCGATCAATTGCGCTACAAAACGGCTTCAATGAAACAGGTAGCAATCAGGCAAACTCGAAACTTACTTGTACATGCTCCTCTTCTCCTCATCTTTGAAATAGCCAATAAAGTACAGCCACTTTTCTACGCAAACTATAGCAATGGAGCTGAGCTTCATTTCGGGTTGACGGTTCTCCTGCCCCTCTTGATATGCGGAGCAAACAGCATTGAAAGCGGCCTAGAGTCGAAGTGTAATGACATAATGCCAGACATCGTTCCATAAACAAAAGAAAAAAATATAACCCTCAGAACTAGTGTTATGCTCCCGTAGAAATTTCAACTTACGATGTCGATAACGTCCAAAATAATCTATTTTCAACACCTCTCAAAGTAGGAGAAATCGCGAATCTGGTAGGAGAAATCGCGAATCTGGAGAGCCGGGACGGAGGAATGGAAGGGGTGTCGATCTGGGGGATCAGTGGCTCAGAAGAATCGGCGACAAAGGAAGTAAGAATACGTGTGGTTGCATCCGAATTTCAGAAGAATGCGCGACGCCGAGGCAACAAATGGTGATAGACTGACCCGCTCACAAGCCGTTCTTCCAACTGGGCCATCCCTACTTTCACCGGATTTTGAGATGATAGCACTGAGAAAGCGACTACAAAAAAAATTGGTTTCAAGTTTTAAGAATGATTACAGCTGTTTAACGCCGCAGTTCGCGCCCGAAATGAGTGGAGGGTAAGAGCGCATAACCCACTATTTCCGTGATAAAAATAGACAAAGAATGTCCGCAAATTTTGCGGTATCACACCTGGACATGTTCATATCGTGCATTATCTGGATGCAAGCGGAATCTTTTCAAATCCACGTCGAGGTAAGCGTGATTACTGAAAGAAAAATACGTTACGTAGGATTTCGAAGGGAACAAGGATCTCCTCACACTGTCTGCGACAGATTCCCCATGCTGTCACTGTATGCGTTTTCTAACAATTTAGAAGCTGAATCACGAAACCACTTCAATAAGTCGTCCACTAGCAGTGCCAACTGAAACGTCAGGGACGAGATAAGCAACTCTCACATTAAGAAGCAACAAAAAAAGGTACCTTCGTAATATGCTCCAAATATTTCCCATGATTATCCACAGTCATGTTAACGGCCTCTTTTTCGACTCCTTCCATCAAGTCAGCTCCAGTGGCAACCTTCTCAATCAGCATCAGGGTCAGATTCTCTGGAAGAGAGAATTCGCTCAATATGACACATACCCTGAACCTCGAAGATAGAGAAAGCAGAGCGCTTGCTCCGTTTGAATGTGACAGGAGCTGCGTCTTTGGCAGGACATTTCCACTCTTGAACAATTGCAAACATGTCTTTGCCCAGCGCAAGATAGTACGACAGTTGTATGCTATGGAGATACCTCGCGAGAAAGGCGTCGCATGTTTGCGTGTAGCAGGCGGCCAGGCCTGCTACACGCAAACAGGTCTCTATCGTCCGGCTATGGAGAGTTTCACGCAAATGGAAACAACTTGCAGTTTAAGGGCATCCGTGATTGGGGAGAAATCATACTATTGCGTTTTCCTTCAAGCACACTCTCCGATCACGGATTCTGCAGATTAGTCGCTGCGTAACCTGGGCGCCTCAGTGGGATGCTTATGGCGTGGCGCCAGCCTATTCTCTACCAATTGTGGATGCTAGCAGATCAAACCCACCATCCCCTCCCCCCGCCCCCCCCCCTCAACCTCGCGCCTTAGCAAGGAAGACTGTACAAATGCAAAGCAAGCATGCGGTTCAAATACTCACCTTTCTCCCTTATATTTGCCAGCGCATCCGCGACCTCTTTTTCATGAAAAGTGAAGCTTGCGGCCTCACGACAGTTGTCCTCAATGTTATGTGCTTCATCCAGAATCACAACGCTGTTTCTCAAATGCACATCAGAGGAATGTCGTATAATAGGATCTGAATGAACAAAAGCATGTCAGTAGAAAATTAGAACACAGTTTGAAAAAAAGACGAACCGACAAGGTAACTAAAAGGGCAGAAAATAATATCCGCGTCTTGAGTTAGTACCCGTGTAGAGGAAAAATACGGGCAGATCGGTTTCGCCATAGATGAAAGACTCTCTACTAGTTCTTCAATGTCGAACACCACAGCATCCTAGGGTTGTTCCATTAGAGAAACCAAGGGTCACAAAAAATGGAAACTCAGGAAAAATGAAAGAAGTGAAGAACCAGTAAACTTCTGACTTACCATTTGCTCCAGGACTATTCGCAGATTACTCGGTTTCTCATAAGCAGGTTTCATAGCATCTTTGAATCGGCACCCTAACTGAAATTCGATGAAAACTTCACCGCACACCATGTACAAAAGATAAGACTCGACTATGTCTAAAAGTGGGACGTCTGGGGCTATCCTTCCCCGGGTCTCCTTTTATCATTTGAGCTTCGAGGCCAACAGTTCACACTAGTGACCAATGAATTTTCAGAACTTGCCTAACGCATCCTTCTGCAGTCAGCGGCAGTGAATCGTTGGCTTAACGCCCTTTGACTGTTTGAAAAAATATTAGGTTGACAGGAAAGTTTCCCGCCACGCGTTTGATCGCACCATATTAGCCTTGCACTGCTTTCAAGCTATGCGAATGTGGAGAATCGGCGAAAGGAAAGCATAGATATCGACGTGAAGCATATGCGAGAAACGGAAGCAGGCGTTCAGATATGCATCGATTAAATCGCATTTATTCTTCATTCTAATGCTGCAGAATATTTATGGGTAGCTAGCCGATTTCTATACAGTCTTTTGCTTCCGAGTGTTTCCCGAACCGTAGATGTTCTAGAGACACCTGTACCCTCCTTCTCGCCAATCCTCTGAATTCGCATAGTATGAACGACCTTGTCATTTTAACCCCTCCACTACATGACTTTCAGTCACACAATAATGGCAAG